CTTTCTAGCCAAGCCAGGCTGTTAATAAAGCAAACAGACATTTTAAAAATATGTTTATTTTTCATTAGTCAAAGGAAGTTCAATACTGACAGGAAAATGCACATTTGTTCTTCCATGCATTTGCAGAGCCAGACGCCAGCCCATCTCATGCGCCCCCTCACCAGGTGGACCCGAAGGGGAAACAGCAGCTTCCTAACAGGATCTGCTTATCGAGAAACAAGAGGAACCAGAACAAGTGATGGACTTAATTGTAGAGCCCAGAATGCTCAAATCCCAACCTCCAGGCCTGTGGTTCAGGGAGCTCTAGTCGGTGGTCCAGTGGCAAGAACCTGCGCTGCCAACCTAAAGGCAGGCAGTTCAAATCCACCAGCTGCTCCAAGGGAGAAAGATGGGCGTCTCCTCCCAGGCGATTTACAGCCTCTGAAAACCCCTGGAGGGTGAGCTGAGTCGGTTCCCACTCAGTGGTACAGCAGCCATGCGTATGACTGAGCTCTGATGGTGTCGTCCCTCGCGGGCTGATGGGGGGCCCTGAGGTGGCAGCCCTGTGGAAGTTCAGATCCCCCAGTCCCTTCTGGAAATAAAGATGGGCGATCTCATGAGCAATCGGCAGACTCCATAAACCTGCCGGAGGGTCAGCTCAGAGTCGCTTTGGACTCCACAGCAATGAGATGGCCACGAGGAAGCCTGCGGTTATCAGCGCTCTCGGGAGCCAGCAGCAGGGTGGTGTGTATATTTCTCTTTTGAATTACAGATTAAACAAGGGGGCTGGCAGTTCTGGGGAATGAGAGTCAAAGTCACATGAGCAGAAGCTCAGAAGACAAGGACACCCTCCCACACCCAGCCGACAAGAGAAAGCCTTCCCTGCAGGAAGTGCCTGGCGTGGGACTTCCCGCCTCCAATCTGTGCAAGAATAAATTTCTCTTTGCAAAAGCCGTCGACTTGTGGCATTTCTGCCCTGATGGTACTAGCGCATTGAGATAGGAATGAGATAGGGCATGATTTCCTGACATTCTCAACCAACACTCACCATAGGAGAATTCTTATTACTCCATCACCTTGGATTACAATTTCTCAAACGGAACACCTGATGTGTGTACACGCCTGGCTTCACACCTCTTCGACAGTGAAATCTGCTTCTAAACGCAGGCAGTGGGCCAGCTGAAAAGGTTTTTTGTTCCTATTTTCCAGAATGCACCAGGCCTTACTGTGTTTAGGGAGCTCACTCACAAACACAACATTCCCCTCTATAAAAGTCAATGTCTTAAAAGTATGCAGATTGGAAACGAAGGCCAGAATGCTATAAACACCCAGATGGGACTGAAGTGGGGTTTGTGACAGTTGAGTCTCCTCAAGACCCTCCCTACTGAGATGTGGGGCCCAGACACCTGCCAGGCCATCACATGCTCTGAACCCAACACAACCCTGTCATCCAGGACAGCCTCTGGGGAGCCCTGGTGGCATGATGGTTTAACAACTCAGCCACCAGCCTAAGGGCCAATAGTTTGAACCCAGCAGCCACGCCAAAGCGGAGACAGGTGGCAGTGTGCTGCTGTAAAGGTTACAGCCTTTCAGCCCCACGAGGTAGCTCTCAGTCCTGCAGGGCAGCCGAGAGTCAGATTCGACTCGGTGGTGGGGGGCAGGATGAGAAAGCCCCCATCCCTGAGAACTGAAAGCAAATCCTATCGGGCTGAAGACGTCTCTGGGTTTGCAGGCTCCAACTCTGTTCACCGTGTAGGAATGAAATGAACGAATGAATGAAACTGCAGACCTTTCTCTGTAGCAAATGGCACAGATTTAGCGTCCTACAAGTGAATGACCATTGGCCTCTGGACATGTGCCTGCAAGGAAATATGTAAGAATCGTATGCCTAAAAATCCCTCCACCAAGAGGCTTTAAAAGCCCAGCGCAACGTTCATGGCAACATGACCCCGAAATTGACAGCTTTATAAAGAAATAAAATTACCTCTGGCACCTTAAAAGTCACTGTTGCTGTGGGGTCCCTTCGAATCAGAAGCGACTCACAGCTGCCCCCCCCCAGCACATTTTCAGAGACTATAAATCACACGGGAGATTGTCCATCTTTCTCCCACAGAGACGCTGGTGGATTCAAATGCCCTGCCTTTGTGCTGGAGGAGCAACTCCTTACGAACTAGACCGCGGATGCTCCCTGAGACATTGACTTGTATTTCCAGTCTTCTAATTAGGACGAGTCCATTGTGTGCCTGATTCCAGCTTCAGTCTCCTCACCACCTGCTGGGCATCCGAGAGCCGGGCAGCGGGATGACAGGAGAACCACTGCCTCTGAGCTGCGGTGCTGGAGAAGAGGACTGAATCCCATGGACAGACAGACAGGTCCTGGAGGACGTGCAACCAGGGTGCTCTCCTGAGAGGCAAGGACGAAGAACGTGGCTCACAGTCTGGCAATGCTGTTAGGACTGGTCAGTCCTTGGAAAAAGACGTCAGCTTAGAAATGTGGAGGGTCAGAGAAAGGAAGGCAGACACTCAACAAATGCAGTGTCTGTTCACAATGGGCTCAAGCTTGTCAGAGACCATGGGCATGGCCGAGGACAAAGCAGGGTTCAAAGCTGTTGTTTATGGGGTCGTTACGAGTCCTATTTGCCTCGCCAACACTTAACAACAAACATCTACCATCTGGTTATGGACCATCAGATGGGAACCAACTTACAGCTGACCCTCCGGCACGTAAATCGCATGGGAAGAGACTGGCCATCTTTCTCTTGAAGAGCAGCTGTTGATTTTGAACTGCATGCCTGTGGATTGGCAGAGCAATTCCTTACCACTAGGCTACCAGGGCTCTCTGTGCCACGGCCTCTGCTAAGAGGTGTTAACTAGAGTGGTCCTGTGACAGTCACCAGCAGGCACAGATTTCCTGATGACAACAGGTAACGAATCAGATCCTAAACCCACCGCCACTGTCAATCCCGATTCACAGGGACCCTGCAAGTCAGGGAAGCACAACGCCCCACAGAATGTCCACGGCTGTAACTCTTCAAGGAAACCCACAGGCTTGTCTGTGTCCTGAGGAGAAGCTGGTGGACTTGACCCACCAACCTCTCGGTTGGCAGCTGACTGTTTTAACTACAACACCAACAGAGCTCAATCAGTAACCGACATAAAAGTCAAGGCCAGTGCCATCCAGCCAGTTTGGGCTCACGGTGCCCCTTAGGACAGAGCAGAACTGCCATCAGGGTCTCCACGGCTGTAAATCTTCAGCAAATCTGACTGCCGCATCACCCGTGGAGCAGCCAGTGAGTCTGAGCCGCTCACCTGCTGGCCGGTACCTGGAAATGCTGGGTTCCTTGGACGTGATCTTGTTAGCATCATTCCAACAGCAAGTCCTCAGCCAATTTCAGAGAGACCTTCCGTGGCAGGTGGAAAGAAACCATGAAACTGGCTGGCATGATCTGCGCCAGGCACGCACCCCGAAATGCACGTTCAACATGACAACTTTCAGAGGAAGCTGAGTGTGGGGAGCGGAATTGTTCGCAGGAGCCCTCTCGGCTTCAGCTTCTCGTATTTTGTTGGGAGCAGTAATTCAGACCGGGGCTGGTTAACGCCCTCGAGGGGCAGGAGGGATCTCTACTAGGAACAGGACTGCGTGTAGAGCTGCCTGAGACGTTCGTTCAGCTCATGCCTCACAAGCGACACGCTTCAAGTCCTTCCAGAGTCCTAGCCGCCAGAACTGTGGGGCCTGCAATGGAGCTTGGCCACGCACAGTGCACCGAGGGGTCTCCAACATTCCCAACTGCGTCCTACTCACAGTTTTAAGTGCATGTAGAGACTTGAGACTTTGTCCTAAAAATAATTACCTGCCATCAAAGCAAGATACAGAAAAGCAGCACACTTTACAAGAATACAGGGAGAATAGGTGATTCAGCCGGCGGTCAACTCATTTGAAGTTGACTATCTAGTGGGCAGATTAAGTTAACTAAAGAGAGTAAATTAGTGACTTAGAAATCATCCACTTTCAGGTGATCTAGGTCATGTCTGAAAGTCTGCATTAAATCTACAAACAATACGCAGGCCTTTATTTAGAATCAAGTCTGAAAGTTAAAAAAAAAAAAACCAAAACCAAAACAACTTACTTGTATTTATACTGTTTTGAAAGATTAGTGCCATCTCTTTATGGTAAAATATCTTAATGTATTTTTATATAAAAATATACAAAATGCTATATTCTACCTCTCCTTCACTCAGAAGAAACCCTTTCAGTTCAGCGACACCAGCCAAGCTAGCCAGTAAGTTCCAATCTTCTCCCCCCACGTGTTCCAGCATCTCCCTGGGTTTTAAGGCTCAGCATACAGATTGTTGTCTTAAAATAGACAGTTCTCATGTTTCTCCAAGGATCACAGAATGAGGGCCTTTAAAAAAATATACAGTGGCATAACCATTTGCTGTAGGTTCTTTTATCCCATCTCCCCATTATTAAAACAGACAAAATTGTAAAAACCACCCTCTTATTTTCAATTCTAGGTAGCAGAGGATACAAAACATCTGCCTATTTTAAATCAAGCAGGATAAATATGGATCTTGTAATTCCCGACCATTACATTTTAAAAAGAAACACGATGCTTCGTAACTTCAGCAGCTGGGCAGTCTTATCCGGCACCTGTAGTGACAGAATGACTCTTGTTTTTCCACAAGGTGGATGGAATCAAGTCTTTAAGAATAAACTCAAGCTGTTATTCAAAATGAGTCTCTGTTCCCCAATCCTCCGTTTTAAAAAATAATGTTCGTGGATCAACTGGCATGAACTTAGTCCCTGCTCGTCATAAAAACAAGGAGATTTCTAGATCTGAAAGTGGGAAACTTTACAATACCGTTAGTGTGAGGAAGAGGTATAGAATACAGAATTATTTGGCTCTATCATAAGGCAATCGATGCAGTGGGACTCGTTCCTATCGTTAATCTGACGTGACGGGATTCTAGAACATGATCATTCCCCATCAGGAGGAAAGTGTGGAGATGAGGCCACACCATCAGGCCAGGTCATTGTCGCTGAACTTGGACGAGAGGAGGCGAAATGAGAAGGGAACAAACTTGGTGCCAGCGCCGACGTAGAATTTGTTCTGAAATTCCACCCTACAAAAAGAGGGAAAGAAGACACTCAGTTAGTGGAAGACAGTGAAATGATATTTCCTATGTTCTTTCAAAGGACATCTGTGAGTTCAAACTCAAGCATGGTTCCTCTACTGAAATGGCTTCATTCTGCAGCTCTTGAATTTTTACTTAACATTTTCATGTGATTTGAGGGAAAGTATATACAGCAAACTGGTTTCCATTCAACAATTCGGCAATGACATTTCATGGTACTGCGTAGAAGGCCCACGTTACAGCAGCACTCTTCCCGCTTCCTCCCCGAGTTTCTTGTTTCCATTCATCTTTCCATCCTAGTCAAGCCATTCCTGAGTTGTAAGCTTCCTCCCTGAACAAATGCTGTCCTCCGGAGCTTGGATGGTTCATGTTCTAATGACTGCATACCTCCCTGGTGGGACCTGTCCACTGTTTGGCTGAAAGCAGAGCCTCTGGCTCAGTTCCAGGCAGAAGGGTGATTAATGAGCACAGTCTGGGGAGTCCCACCAGGCTTTCTAGGCTTCTGGGGGACAGTCTCTGATTGTCTTCCCTCTTCTTGGCTCCAGGAGGTACAAGATCAATAGCTGCATCTTACGTGGCCCCCTGCAAGCTTTGAAGACCCCAAGCGCGACTCATCAAAGTAGAGCGTAGCATCGTGCCTTCTGCCTACGTGACCTAAGGACTTCACTTAAACTCCTAGCCATTCTGGATTCCTTAAGGTGACTGAAACACTCGCACAGGGAGAGACCAATCCAGGCAGGAATGAGAAAGCCAGTCAGGTAGAAAGGATACCCACAGATAATAAGACAGAAGGAATGCCCACAGAAAACAAACTTATTCTACAGATGCTGTAAAACATGAAGAAATGCCTATTACATGCTATACAGTAACATAAAGCCATCGCCCAAAGCCCAATGAGAAGCATCATTCTGACTTTATGTGCGTGGTACCTCACGAGGGTCTGAGCCGCACCCCAACGTGAGGAACAGAGGCCCCTGCACAAGGCGTGCGGGTTCTGTGGGGACCCCTCCCACACTCACCAGTGCAGGCGTATGGCGTGAAGGAAAGCAGAAAGGCCTTCCATGATCAGAAGGATGGAGATGGTCAGGACGGCGAAGAAGGCGATGACGGGGAGCAGCAGCAGGACGCCGTAGGTGGTGTCCACGCGGAGGCCCACGCGCATCAGCATGGCCCACAGCACGTCCGACAGCTCTGCGGGCGGGGTACGCACTGTGAGCCTCCCCGAGCCTCCCCAACATCCTGTCGTCCCCTCCGTTCCCAAACACAGGAGCTCCAGCAAGCCCGAGACACCGAGGGACACCAGCATTCCAGAAACATCGGGGCGTCAGCTCCCAACAAGCTCTGGGTGAGCACAGGGCGAGGAGGTGGGCACCCTGACCTGCCTCTGACGCAGCACCCGGGACACCTCGAGTGCAGTCCTCACACCGCACAGGTCCCCACACCCCAAAAACGAAGGTAAAGGATCAACAACTCGGTCCATTCTCACCATAAAACGTGCCCTTTGAATTTTCACATTATACAGTGTGCTAAGGATTACTCATGACCTATAAGGAAGCTCTGGTGGCCTGTGGTAAGAAGCTGTGCTGCAATCCCATGGCATGCAGTTCAAATCCACCCACAGCTCTGTGGGAGAAGGGAGGCCTCCTCCCGCCCGACTGTCTGCCTCGGAAAACCTGCTGGAGGGTCAGATACGGGGTGGTTCTGATTGGATCTGATTGGATGGTGCTTAACAACAATAGTGTTGATTCCCCTCATGGGCTCTGAGCCTGTTACTTGGGTGGGAGGGAGCCAGCCTGGAGGGCACCATGCCTGGTAAAGGCAAGGGTCCAAGGAAAGGCGAAGACCCTCAACACTGGGTTCACACAGTGTCTGTAGCAATGGGCTCGAGCCCAGCAGACACTATGGGGATGGTGCTGGACCGGGCAGTGCCCCGTTCTGTTATGCACAGGGCCGCCGTGAGGTGGGGTTGCCCCAGCGCACCTAACAACAACAGGAAGCAGCAGAGGGCCCCGGGCAGGCATGTGGAGGGGGCAGCACGGGCCCCAGGGCCGGGCATGTGGACGGGACAGCACAGGGCCCCGGGGCCAGGCTACTGGACAGGGCGGGAGGTGCTGGCGGTCTTGGTTCATATGTGCTGGGCAGCAGTATAGATGAATGGAAAGGAATGGCTAGAGGGAAAACTGAAGCTGTTCTGTGACCTTTAAAAATTATCTTTAAACATTAAAATCTCTCTACCTGTTGACAGTAAATGCATAAGGAAGGGAATTCAACAGTGAATCTATTTTTAAAACATTACCACTGAGTGTTAAAATGTTTCACTTCTTTACAATAAAAGGCCTACTCTGCAGGGTTTGCGCATGCATGCCTTCTTCAGAGAGCTTGGGAGGGGCGGGCATCCTGTCGGGTCCCTGCCCACCCACTGTCTGCCCCTTCAGGCTGCCTCAGGTGCCTTCCTGCACAGTAACCCCTCCGGGTTGTACCTCGAACACCATGACCCTCCCCCACGGCTCTGAGGCATCACCTCCCCTGGGACAGCTTCATGCTGTCACAACACCGCCCCCCCCTTCACTCTGCTCCTCTGGCCGCACGTGTGGGGACAGCAGTGGTGTCAACATGCCTGCAGCCAGCCACGTCTTCCAGGGTCCACTACGTTCCCCAGGACCTCACTTCCAACGGGTCTTTCCCTCTGCTCTGATGTGCTCTTATCTTTGCTGTAACTTTCCCCCTTCAATGGTTAGGTTTTGTAAAATGCCACAGGGGTTGACTGCAGAGACAATCAGACACCCTGTGATGTGCAGAGCCACCCCATGACATGCCAAGGCACCACATGATACACTGAACACCCCATGATGCACAGAGGCATCCTGTGATGCACCGAGCACCCCATAACGCACCGTGCCTTCTGTGTGAGCAGAGTAAGGGATGGACGCAGAGTCCACCATGTGGGTGCTATTTAAGTGGCGGCCTGTGCACTACGAACTTACTCACAGGTGGTGGGCTGTGCTGAGTGGGACCTGTGTGCTGGAGATCGGAGCTATTTAAGGGAACTACAGTGATGGGACCAGTGCTGACCAGAATGTGCAGAGCGAGGACGGCCTGTAATCAAACGTCAGGGGAGGTGGCCCCTCGGATACACACGTGGGAGATAGTGGTGGCAGGGAAGATGAGGATGCCCTGGTGGAAATTCTCGAGGGATCTCAGGATATTTAAAGTGCAATCCACAGTCCCACCAGCACCGAACTGAAAACAGTGGCAACGCTGACAGCGGAGGGCCTGGCCGGCTGGAGGCCACGTGCTCAGGAATCACCATCACAGTAATCCTGGCCAGCTTGTTAAAACCACTCATCCCAATACAGGAGACCCTCCACTGGGTCTCCGAGGCTGTCAGTCTTAAATGGAAGAAGACCACCTCAACCATCGCCACAGAGAAGCTGGTGGATTCAAACCACTGAGCTTTGAATTATCAGCCCAGCACTTAACCTGCTACACCAGCGGGGTCTCTGTAGACACTATTAAGCGAGCTCACTAAGTAGTAGGTTCACACAGCTCAGTCACATGAGTTCCCGCGTATTTATACTCCCCATGCCCACCTCCAGCTCCCCTGAACTCCGCGCGGGGCTTCATGCGTGGGGGGCGAGCAAGGCGTGCGGACACTTACGTGCGTGCGCCAAGCTAAGCGCCCAGAGCCTCAGGTAGGAAGCTGTGTTGGAGATGCAGCCCAGGCAGTACTCGATGGAATGAATCACTTGAGTCATCAGAATTTCTCCAAAATTGAACTGGGAGAGATCACATGCGTTGCATTAGCCCCCTCGTAGGGGAGGCACAAGCCATGCAGGAAGGGGAGATGTCCACTCTCGGGAAGGAAATCAAGAACCAGCTTCTGGGAGGCGTGTGCGGGACAGGAGGTCACAATACCCGAGTGGTCCTCTCAGCCGCACCATGAACCCATCCCCTCCTGTACCCCCAGCCTCTGATCTCCACGTGTAACCTGACGGGGCCACCTGAGGCCTGTGACGGCTGCAAGTTCTCAGCAGCACAAAAGTCTGGCGTGAAAGCAGACGTTCACCAACCACAGGTACATCTAACCCAAGTGACATTAGCAGGTCGGCTGACCTAGAACAGGGTGTGGGCTCTGCACTGTTAACACTCTCCTGAGAAACTCTGTCATTAGGGTGAGATTAACCCAAAACTCTCAGGAATGTTATATCCGTGACACTCATTTTACCACCAGGAAAGCACGGGGCAGCGCTGGACCCGTACCCCTCGGGCGTCCTTCTCCCGAGGGCCATGTCCCGAGGGCGTGTGGGTTTGTGCAATGACAGTAAAGCTCACCTCCTCGCTGCTGACTTCTCGACACCCGTCCTCCGCCGGGGCGTTCCCCTCCTCCACGTCCTGGCTTCCCAGCAAGGACACCTCTTCCTCACTGTCCTTCCTCACCAGTGTGTACCCGCTCTGACGGAACCAGAGAGGGGACAAAAGCAGTGGCCTGTCACTGCTGCCACCGTGTGACAGCCCCCACCCCGCCGCCCCTCATTTCTCTGTGTGGTTAGGCCTTTGGGAATAAAGAGGAAAGGTTCTTTAGGAGGAAATGAAGAACTAGACTGACACAGGGGAAGGATCCAGAAAGAAAACAGTGGCTGGGCCTGGGATGGGACAAGATGTGATGCTTTGTGCTGCGCTTTCCATACCTTTTGTAATTAAACTGACTAAAAAAACCCACACACTTTAAGAGAAAAAGGAAGAGGCAAAGAAGAGTTGGTAGAGACAACCTGCTGTTTCTCCAAGAACTCAGCGACCACTCCCGGGGCCTGTCTGTCTGCAGGGGACAGGAGCCAGGCCTTTCCCATCAGACCAGGGCCGCACGTCAGTCCTTCACGGGGGCACTGACCCCACGCTCCTCGGTCCTCAGGAGGCACCGCCGGCCCACACTCACCCTGCTGACGCCGAAGCAGCTCCGCCCGTTGTGCAGCCACAGCAGGAAGAGGGGCTTTCCCAGGAAGAGGACGGGGATGGACAGCGCGGTGACCACCAGCAGTAGTCGCTGCACGTGCTCCTGGGGACATTGGGGAAGTGGCTCAGAAACCCCAAGGCTGCTCAGAAGTCAGTCTTGCCCGCCCAGACCAATGCTCTGCAATGGCCCAGCCACAGTCCTGCCTCCAGGCAGGGCCTCCAGGGCAGGGGCTGTTCCAGGGGCCAGAGGTGGGGCTGGGCTCCTGGCAGGACACCAGAGCCGCCATCTTTGAGAGGGGCACAGTGTGGTTCCTGTGCAGACAAAAGCGCAGCTCACAGATGTGGCTAATTAGCGTCCTGGCTAATCACTAGAATTCTGGGGTCTCCTGCGTGTGTAAAAGGTACGGCCACACTACTCTGGCCTAGGAAGTGTGAAACAGCACCATTCAAAAGCGTAGGCTGCTGGGAGAACGGCCACAGTGTGGCACAGACACGAGCTGGCACACAGGTGGGAAACGGTGCTGGACTGCTCGGGGCCAACGTGCCTCCATCCTCCATCTGTGACAAAGCAGTGGCCGCAAGGCACAACAGAGTAAAGCACGGGAGGGGGAGGCCTGCCTACACGTCAGATACAGGGCACCTGTGACACACAGCACGCACATCACACACACGGCGTGTGACGTCTGGAGCATCACAGCCAACGGTCAGTGGGAGGAAAGGCACTTTCCCTGCCAGTCACTGTGTACTGAGGGCCAGTTCTCAGGTGACTTATCCTAGAGACTGACTGAAACAAGTGGGGGACCAGAGAGCCCCCAGGCATCCTCCTCCACCAGTTCCGCCAGATGTTGGGCAGCAGGTCTGGACAACAGCACAGGGCCTGACACCACTCTCATCAGGACCAGTGTCCTCCAGGGAGAAGCCACTTGCTGAGAACCAACATGGAGGTTCCGAGAGGTTGGCAGGAAGCACCCCTCCCCATACTCCTACTGGTCAGCTGGTTCACCCCCCGCAAACCCCCTGCCCCATACATCCACTGGCCAGCTGTTTTACCCCCAAAACACACCTCCATACACCTACTGGTCAGCTTGTCACCCTCCCATATACCTACTGGTCAGTTGCTTTGCCCCCCCATACACCTACTGGTCAGCTAGTCACCCCCCAAAACACCCCTCCCCATACAGCTATTGGTCAACTGCTTCACCCCCCAAAACACCCCTCCCCATACACCTACTGGTCAGCTGGTCACCCGCCCATGTTTCCACCTCCTAACGGAACTGAAAGGCCAGGAAGGAGCTCTGTGACACTGGTGAGAGCTGAGAGTGGACGACTCACCTGCCCGGGGTACAGACCAATCGTCTGGCTTGCTGGGAAGAGGAACATGTTGATGAACTCAATCAGGATGCTGGGTGCGGCCCTGGAGGTCTCCGCAGAGTACACCAGCCACTTGTAGACGATCATGAAAATGAGGTACCCAAAGATGCAAAGCATGAACAGCAGCTCCGGGATGGACACCAGGTAGACATTGAACTTCTTCCTGAAATGCCTGACAAATGACAGAATGGTCAGTCAACCCACGGGCAGGACCGTGCCCCAGACAAGTGAGAGCCAAACGTACCCACAGAGAGACCAAGCCGAGTAACAGGAAGCTGGCTTGGCTTGTGTTCCAGACAGCACGTGGAGGAGAGCAGGAAGAGGGGGGCAGGTAGAAGAGGGCAGGTGAAGGGGGCACATGGAGGATAGAGGTGGAGGAGGGCCGGTGGAGGGAGGCAGGCGGAAGGGGTAGGTGGAGGGGGCATGAGGAGGACAGCAGGAAGAGAAGGGCAGGCGGAGGGGGGCAGGAGGAAGAGGGAAGGTGAGGAGGGAAGGAAGAGGGAGGAGGAGAGCAGGCGGAGGAGGGAGGGGGAGGACAGAAGGTGGAAGATGACAGGTGGAGGGTGGACTGCCTGTCACCAAGCACTGGTTTAAAGGACTGGAGGTTTGAACCCACCAGCAGCTCTGAGGGAGAGACCTGGCCACTTGCACACAGAATGGTTAGAAACAGCACGGGCAAGTCTATGGTGACTTGTGAGAACTGGGCACTGCAATCGGCTTGGTGGCACTCAGTGACCCCGTCAGCAAGGAGCCCCCTAAGGACGGCTGTACACCAGAGAAGATTGTGACTGCATCGAGCCAGTTCAGACGGCAAACATCTCCAGGAAAGTGAAGCAGCCAGATGTGGTAAGGGAAGAGTGCTATGACCTCTCTGTTACCCTTAGTGCACTAGTGCTAACAAGGAAACAGGTGCTGCGGGCACACGCTGAGCTGCTAACTAAAGGGCTGGCAGTTCAAATCCACCAGCTGCTCCCCAGGATAGAGCAGAGGCAGCCTGCTTCCGTCAGAGCACAGGCTCGCAAGCCCTGCCTGCCCGTTCTGCTCTGTCCTACGTCACCAGGATGCAGAATCAATTCAGCAGCAGCAACGGCCACATGTCAAGAAAATGCTTATCGTCTCAAACGAAGAAAGGACAAAGGTCACACGTGGAGATCCGTGTGAGCTCACATGCTGGCTGTCTGCCCTTCCCTCCCGTGGCTCCAAGCCAGGAGGGTGAAAGGCGGTTTCCATTCTCACCCTGGCATCCTCGGCCCCTGGCACACGTGGGTGCTTGGCAAACACCCTCTGAGCTCATGAACCCTGTCAGACTCAAACACCATGACAAACAGAGGAAAACCGGACCACGCAGCACACCACCTCACTGGCAGCCACGGACCATCATGGTCTGGCATCAAGAATAAACAAATACTAAAATGGGTTTATAAACATTGCTTAAAAAAATCCCACTGCAATCCCAGAGGCATGCTGTTCAAATCCCCCAAATCCTCTGCTGGAGAAGGAGGGGCAAGGTCCTCCTGTACCAGTGAGATGTGATTTGACGGCACACACACACAAAAATAATAAAAATAAAATAATAATTTTTAAAAATCCATACTTACAAGTGGTTAAATATCCCCAAGATGACTCCAAAGGTCATATGAGTAATTCCTAAAATCACAGACATCTTCATTTTGAAAGAGTTGAGAAAAGTTAGACGATTGGTGGCCAAGTTCCAAATCTACAGACAAAACAGACAGGAGAAGCTTTAGGCTCATGGAACCCGCAGGGCAGATGGCCGTCAACGGGACCACCCCAAACCAGGGCAGCCCCAGATTTCAAAGCACCACCGGCACTCTCCTCGTGTCCTCTGCTCTGAGAAGCGTTCGTTTCCTTAAACCACACGCTGTCCGAAAACTCCCACTGACAGAAAGTTTAAGGACGAGAGAATCGGAACAGCACACTGTCGGGCGACTCAGGCACAGGCGGCTGCCATGCAGTGCCTACAGGGGGCCCGGCCGTGCACCGGCCTCGTCCTCTCAGATGCCAGGATCTGGGCACACCCCCAAATACCAGAGGTGGGGAAGGGGTCACAGGAACATCTGCCTATTCAACAACATGCGCCAAAGCAAAAAGAAGGGGAAACCCCACTCTTTCTTCCTGGGTACCCAGTGTCTTCACTCTAGAAACAGCTTTCTCATTTTGTTGGGGCGGGTGCTGTTAGTATTTTTAATGACCAAAGCAAAAACAGCTTCAACTGCAGCTTGTGGAAGCAGCCTGACTTGTGCCTTCTCCCCCACTGTCTGACCTTGGCCTCCACCGGCCACACCTGCTGGAGCAGGACCCTGAAGACCCCGTGCTGGCCACAGCTGTGTCCAAGGGGACAGCCACAGAGCACATTCTGGACACAAGGGGACTATCTTGCCTGTGGTGGCTGTCACTTTAGTGGGCACGCATGGCTGCAGGGGTGCTGTGAGGTGTTGCTGCCATCGCTCTACACGATGACAGCCAACACCAGAGGCCCTCCCTGTTCCTGGGCTCCCAGGCCCCCGGGCACGCTCATTTCCACCAGGCTGACGAGAGAGAACGCGGAAACACAGCTTTCCTCCACTGGGGGCTACAGATCACCCCAAGTCAGGCCCCAAACCTGTATCTTTAGGACACCATGGTAAAAGCTTCCCAGTTTCCAGTTACTAAGACATAAGGCGACAACATCACACAGTGTCTGGAGGAGAAAAGGAGCGGATGACGGGCCAGCGCGTCCTGTCCACCTGCGGCCTCATTCTCACCAAACAACAGCGTCACATCCCTCTGTGTAGTGAGGTCCTCGGCGGGTCTCTGGAGCACAGGCCCCTGGTGGTGTCTGGAGACCCTCTGCGGGCGCCCTGTGGGCTGATGCTCAACAAGCTCACAGCGGCCCAGCACTGCCTGGCAGTGGGCAGACACGGGGCCCAGTGCCCACTGTTCCCTTCTCCTCCTCCACACACTTTCCAACCTCAAATCACCACCTCCACAGGTGCCAGCGGAGCCTTAAGCATTGGAATTTCACATTATTCCTTCCCAAGGAAAAGCTAGGAAACAATTAGCACATTCAGTGGGGAGATTTAAGAAGCAGCGAACACTCAGCGGCCCCTGAGATGCCATGTTCCCAGCAGGCCAGGCATGGCCAGGACTCTGCTGTGGACGCCTGGAGTCTCATGTTCTATCACGGCCTGGGCTCCCCCAGCAGAGGGGTCACTGTGGGCCTGCTCGCTCGGGGATGGCCCAGAAACAACCAGCCCACACGGCAAACACACGGACAGCGCTCTCCACCGGGAGGTCATAGACACTGCGGAGCCCACCACGCGGAGGACTCACGGGGTCAATGCCGAAGGGGTAAGGGCCACGGAAGACTCCAGGAACACTGGGGTCCAGCTGCAGGATCCTGTTGTGCCGGATGACACTGTCACTGTAAGAAAAGCACCATGAGAGGCCAGCTGCCAACAGAACAGAGCCTGGGGAGGGGCGTGTCCCACAGGAGAAGTAATGAGACTCACTTCCAAAGGGTCAGCTTCTGAAGCTCCTGCGGGGGGTGGCTCGAGCTGTACATGGCAGACACGTTCCACCCAGAGCCAAAGATGTTCACGGACTTGGAGAAGCAGTCGTTGTAGATGAGGCCCGTGTACACTGAGAACAGGCCCATCAGCAGCAGGATGTACCGGCCGTTGAAGAACATTCTCATGATCTGTGGAAAGTGAGCCATGAACCCCTACATCATCCCTGGGACCCCAGGACTCAACCTCCAGACAGAAGACAGCCAGGTCAGAGACAGACCACAGCCCAGTCACAGCCAGGCCACAGCCAGGCCATAGACAGGTACAGCCAGACCACAGGCCACAGCCAGGCCACAGCCAGACCACAG